AACCACATGTCACTCACGTGTCTCAGTACTCATAAACCACATGTCACGTGTCTCAGTACTCATGAACCACATGTCACTCACGTGTCTCAGTACTCATAAACCACATGTCACTCACGTGTCTCAGCACTCATAAACCACATGTCACTCACGTGTCTCAGTACTCATGAACCACATGTCACTCACGTGTCTCAGTACTCATAAGCCACATGTCACTCACGTGTCTGTTTGGCGTTTGTTTGCTCTTCATCAACTTTCCCAGCTGTTCACAAGCTCAATTGCCAGGGCAGGAACCAAAGCGGTGCTCAAAGGTAGCTGAGAAAGGTAGAGAGCCTGAAGGCCTGTAGTAATCATGTGTGACCTGCGGGGTGTAACCCTGTGATGTCCTGAGTAGCGTGTGAGAGAAGGGGAGTGAGGAGCCAATGACAGGCAGGACGTCAAGGAAGCTGCACAATCACACGGCTGCGATGCCCCTCCCCTCCCACACCTCACGCATCCTGATGGGGGGGGGGGGGGGGGTCCTCCCCTGAAACGTTCTGGACAGTTGATTTCAGTGCAAAAGCAAATCCTGTTCTGATCTGATTTATGTGTGGAGCTTTGGCTGTGAAGGTGGTGTGGAGCTGCAGGACACAGGCAAGGTCACACATGTCATATCCAGCGGGACCCGATGCTAACGGGAAGTCGCTTAATGGCCACTAAAAATTAGTCGACAACAAAGGTGTCAGATTTCCTCAGCTACACCATCACTCCTAAGTGACAAAGACCTGTTTCAGATTTCCTCAGCTACACCATCACCCCAAAGTGACAAAGACCTGTTTCAGATTTCTTCAGCTACACCATCACCCCTAAGTGACAAAGACCTGTTTCAGATTTCTTCAGCTACACCATCACCCCGAAGTGACAAAGACCTGTTTCCGATTTCTTCAGCTACACCATCACCCCTAAGTGACAAAGACCTGTTTCAGATTTCCTCAGCTACACCTTCACCCCGAAGTGACAAAGACATGTTTCTGATTTCTTCAGCTACACCATCACCCCTAAGTGACAAAGACCTGTTTCAGATTTCCTCAGCTACACCTACACCCCGAAGTGACAAAGACATGTTTCTGATTTCTTCAGCTACACCATCACCCCTAAGTGACAAAGACCTGTTTCAGATTTCCTCAGCTACACCTACACCCCTATGTGACAAATACCTGTTTCCGATTTCCTCAGCTACACAGTGGCAGGAAAACGTCACTGTAGGTAGAAGCCATTCACAGCTGTGGACTGTGTCACCATCTTCCAGGCTCCAAACTGCACTAGATCAGCAAACCGCCTGGCTCCACTTTAAAGCTCTTCCTAACTTCCAGCTTAGATCCTAAGAGACTTCAGCTATGGCTCCACCTCCTTCCCATTTCGGTTGCGTTTGCCTGCCGGATCCCCACCTGCCAACCGCGACTCCTGCCTGGCAGACCCGCACATTCCCGCCTGGCAGACCCGCACATTCCTGCCATATTCTTTTCGGAGCTTGAAGTCTCAGGTGCAGTTCTGGCAGCCGCATGTCAGCCCTCTCAGATGTCAGGGCCATGCATCCAGAGTCGGGGTCCCAGCCAGCAGTGGCAGAGGTGCCAGAGGGGGGGGGGGACTCACCCACACACCTGGTCCCCAGGGAAGTGAGCTGGAAGCCGGTGGGACACACGCACCGGAAGCTGCCCTCCGTGTTGGTGCAGGTGCCGAACTGGCAGATGTCAGGACTCTCTTTTTGCGTGCACTCGTCAATATCTGCATGAAGAGCGGGGGGGAGGGTGGGTGGGAACATCACTCTGTAAATGGGCAATTCCACATAAAGGCACGTTTTATGTCACATACACAGCATTGATGGAATGCTAACCTAATATATGAATTTTTAGAGTTTTAGGATTTGCCTAATTCAGGTAAATGGAGGGGTTACCAAACATTTATCAATGACCTCATCTGAGCACTGACCCAAGGTCAGAGGTTACACATAGTTTATAAACACCGTTACTGGTCAGAGAATAGCCAAAATAGAGTAATGCCAGGCTAAATCAGCTAATCAGCATACCATCGTATGAGGTTCTATAATGAGATGTTCGCACAGCCAACCAAGGCCTGAAACCTGAATGATCCCTCCCCCCCCGGACTTTTGGAGTGGCAGTTATTCCCGTTGGAGGTGCTGCAGCAGGAAGATGGCAGGTACCTGTGCACTCCTCATTCTGCACGTAGTAGCCTGGGGGGCAGATGCACCTGAAGGTGCCTTCCAGGTTCTGGCATGTTCCGGGAGCGCACGTATTGGGTCTCACGAAGCACTCGTTCACATCTGTACAGGAAAACAGTGGCTTCTTGGCATCCAACATGAGCGGGAAGAGGACCAGCTTAGATTTCTTTGCAGTAAACTAACATTCCTGAGAGCAGATTCTCCAAAGACTGAGCCGTGCATATCCCTTTTGTATGTCGTGTCCACCACCTAAACAGCTGTACTACTGACTACAGACGTCTGTCAACCGCGAGCGACCATGAGCAACTCAGGGGTCTGCAGAATTTGTAAACAAACGCTGTGGTGCATATGAGGGATACAGACATCAGAATATCCGTGAACAGCTATCAGCGCGATGCAGGACAGACACAGAGAGATGGACCTGGAACTCAGAGACACTGCACCGGCGAGTAATCGGAGCCTCACCCACGCAGTTCCTCTGGTCTGCAGAGAGCTCGAAGCCGCTTTGGCACAAACACAAGAATGAGCCCACGGTGTTGAGGCAATCGCCGTTCCTGCACACGCCCCTCTGGCACTCGTCGACATCTGAAGCACAAGGAGCCATGGGTTTGCATTCATCTCTATGTGGCCGCTGTCCCCAACCCAGCCCTATAATTTGTATTAAATTGAGTTTCCCATGTGGGGGCCAGAAAAATGGTCCCCATGTCCTCAAAATAACAATGTATATCATGTATGTCCCCACAATGTAATACATACATGAACCCCCCCACACCACACACAGACACACACACGCACAATAACATTAGCTGCAGAAGCCCAGACTTCCCATACTCACCCACACAGTCCTTGTTGTGTGACAGCTGGAAGCCAGGGTTGCACACGCAGTTGTATGATCCCACGGTGTTCTTACACGTCCCGTTTCCACACGGCTGCCTCTCGCACTCGTCCACATCTGTAAGGAAACCCTGGGCTCTGTTACCGCAGCTCGCTCTCACCGGGACGCCCCGCTGGCCGGTCAAACTGTTCCCGCTCAGAGTGACCGAGCACGCTTCACTGCAAAGTGCCAGAAGTGATCTACCCACCGATGCACATGGAGGAGTCCGGCGTGGTCTTGTAGCCATTGGGACAGGTGCAGCGGTAACTCCCCTCCAAGTCAATGCACTGCCCAGGGTTACAGACGTTGGGGTTCTCCACACACTCGTTACGGTCTGTCCGAGGGGAGAAGAGGTCAAAGGTCAGAAGTCAAAGGTCAGAAGTCAAAGGTCAGCCAACCCGTTGGCAGCCCTAAGCTGCTGCAGGGCAAGACCCTGAGGGCCCAGGGGGGGTAAAAACGTCACAGCAGGACACTGCAGCATTAAATATGTTATTGTACGTTTTTGGGTTTTACTGACTTGTTTCACCGCACACGACCATAATTACAGCCTGCTAAGCTGTGGCCCCATGACCGCAAAGGACTAACAGCCTCGGCAGCCAAAGGCTCCATACATTCTGTCCTGCTGAAAATATGGCGCTGCACCATAAAACTCCCTACAAACGGCACACAAAACATTGACATTTTTCATTTTGTCACCTTTACACTCAAATTTTCTCGGCGGGGTGCTGTGTTCCCGCTCTGCGGGTGATTTTCATGCACAAATATTTTCCACCAAGTTCCAACCAAGGCATCAGATTCTTATCAGACTTCATCACTGACCGCAGTTGGCCATTGTCTTGGGTTCTCTGATTACATTTTCACAGCATATAAAAGGAGGAAGGAAAACAGGAACTAAGCAAGCATTGTGTGAAAGAAAGTACTGAGGCCACGCTGTAATGGGCTTCCCCCGCTAAAGCACTAACGTGTTTTCACCGGGGGACCAAAGGGAAAGCAAATGGAAAGGGAAGAAAAACAAACAGGGCACCCTTTGGGCACAGTGTGCAGCTGGATGGGCTTGGGACATCTCCCTGGAGAACGCGTCACGGTGCGGCCTCACCCTCACGGCTGCTTTCCATGCCGAGAGACACGCTAACATTAACACACTAACAGAACAGAGGAGCTGAGCTCGCCGGTGCTGCACCCCAGGGGCTCCATCATCAGGCGTCACGGGAAGCCGGAACAGGTGCTGGACATACGGCCTCAGGTGGAAATTCATGAGCCCTAAATGTCCTCCAGCAATGAGAGCAAAATGAGCCGTGAAGAGGCTATAAGTGGTAAAGGGGCCCTTTGTGGTGGTTTTTGGCCATGAGTGTACATGGCGTGCTGTCCCTGGCGTGCTGTCCCTGGCGAGGTGGCATGGACGCGCGGAGGAGCAGCCGTACCGATGCAGCGGCCCGAGGAGATGAAGCGGTAGCCCGGCTTGCAGTCACAGCGGTAGCTTCCGGCGATGTTCTGGCAGCGAGCATTCTCCTGGCACACTGGGCCGTTCTGGCACTCGTCAATGTCTGCCGAGAGAAAGGCAAGGGGTCATGATGCCCAACCATGTCCCTGACGCACCGTGCAGCCCAGTTCGTCACTGGAGGGGGGGGGGGACCCACCTTCGCAGACGAGCAGCTTGTCGTTGTAGACGAAGCCCATAGGACACTCGCAGCGGAAGCTGCCGATCATGTTGATGCACACACCATTCTCGCACACGCCCGGGATCTCCCGGCACTCGTCGATGTCTGATGGGCGACACGAGGAACCCAGGCAGCTTGCAAACTCAACACCGCACCCACATTACACTGAATGATGTAGAAGTGAAGTCCTTGTATCCATCCATCAATCAATCATCGCTTATCTGGTACAGGGTTTAGGTTAGCACGCGCAGATACACACGCACACACACACGTGCAGACACACACGCACACACACACCTGCAGATGCACACACACACGTGCAGACACACACGCACACACACACGTGCAGACACACACGCACACTCACTTCAGAGTCACCAGAGACTAAACTGAAGACACACCCCTGCAATGACACACATCCATGCTTCAGTAACCAAACGCTCAATAAAACATAAGCAATGGCTGGATGAGCGTGTAGATGGACGAGGACGCGTCTCTTACCTATGACCTGGCCGGTGTAAATGTCGATATAATACCCAGGCCTCTCGCTGCCGCACAAGACCGCAAACTCATCTGAGGAGGCAGGAGAGGCAGACAGTAAACTGGCCGTCCCTGTTACCAGCGGGGGCCACGCCGGGGCCACAAGGGGGCCTGTACTCACTGGTGCTGGGCACGGGGCACTGCTCGCATGGTTTGTTCCAGGCACGGCCGATGTTGTAGGAGCAGCAGCACATCTTCTTGGTCATGTTGAAGTTCAGCTCGCCATCGCAGGAGCCATTGTCCGAGTGGTAGTTCCTGTAGCACAGGCTCTTTCGCATGTCTGGCACGGGTAGAAAAACACGGTCAGAGCTCGTAGGGCAACGGTGTCCTGCTTTTCTGGGCCGTAGATGACTTGGTAAATAATGTGGTGCTGTAATTCCCAAGCATGCATGTGGGATTTGTACTAGGCTAGCAAATAAACAGATAAAAGCATACAGACACACACAATACATACACACAATTATAAAACCCTGTGTAGTTTTGTTTGTGGGATATTTCCACCAGCTCCCATTTTAATGTGATTAACGATCTCCTAATTCCAAACCACCAAAACTGAGAAACACATGGAAAATGAAAACAGACGCGTCCCCATGGTCTCTGTCTTCTCAATCCCCTTCCCTACTGGTCCCCACGATATTGCAAAATTTGTCCGCAAAATACATTACATATGTCCAGCCAAAGACACAAACCCATAGAGAAAGAGACACGGACAGGCACGGAGAGAGGGACAGAGACACAGCAATAGACGCAATGACAGAAAGAGAGAGCGACAGAGAGCGAGAGAGAGACACTGACAGGCACAGAGACTAGGACAGAAATTTAGAGACACAGTCACATATAGACAGAAAGAGAGAGAGAGGGAGAGAGAGAGACTTTGCACCAGCCTTTATTAAGTCAGTCAACAGAAAAAAACCCTACTGCAACTTCAAATCGCAAGATGGGTCGTTATCACAAAATCAGACAAACGGAAAGCAAGCAAACAATTAACCACAAAAAAACCAAGAGAAAATAACCAGGGCAACAAACAAAAACAACAAAAAAAGGAAAAAGAAAGACAATACAATGGGCCCAAAAAAAAACGAACGGCAAGCCAAGGAAATAATCGACAACTTCAAGATAATATTAAAACTTCAGGATTAAGTCCCCCTCATGGGTCAAGTCACATAGAACCCCACCATAACCCCACACCTCCGAAAAAATCACAAGGTTGTGAGTCACCCTGAAAAAAGCATGGAGAGAGGGGGGGAGAGAGAG